GTCCTCCACAACTCCTCATCCCTTATAACCCTTACCAAGTTTTTTCTCTTTTCAAAACCGACCCCGCCACATCTATTCACATAAACTCGTCAGGCAGGTGGACCGCTGTTTTCCCCATGTCCCTCTTGATCTTGATTGTCCTAATCAATACGATTCTAACCAATACAAGAGAAAATAATATCATGTGGTATAAAAAGGGTGTGTGGCGCGGTTGTGTATTGGATAGCGGCTGCGGATTGAGGAATCGGTGAGCCGAGTTCGAATTCCACTCACATTACATTAACTTACGTGCTAATATCCTTGGGAAAGGTATGAATCCTCTTCTTCCCCCGGCTTCTTCCTATTATGAGAAGAAGATTCTTGGGATAAATTACAGAAGTAGGGTACCCAGGCCTACTCGGATAACGTTCTTACTTTGCCGCGGGGTTCCCACAGACGCAGAGACAGGAACGACCAGAAGCCGCCGGTTACCGATGCAGACCGCTCCTTGGATTTTCAGCAGAGCCCTTGTTAGCCGGCGTGTGTGTGTCAGACCTGTCCGCCTTGGGTGGCCCTACCGGGAACGAAGTTCCGGGCGGCATAGCTCTGACACTACCGTTTACCCCCCACCGACTGTGAGGTAAGAGTTGGACTTTGGTGGCTTACAGTACCAGGTGTTCCCAAGCGGTCCCCCATCTAAGTACTGACCTGGCTCTATGATGCTTAACTTCGGTGATCGTACGAGAACCGGTGTTTCAGCGTGATTTGACCGTAAGCTCTTCTTCCCCCACCCAGCTTTGGGCAAATAGCAGGACAGGCCTGAAAAGAAATGGCAACCTACTGCGGGAAAAAAAAAATCTGCTTTCGAAAAGATACATGGTTTCCTTAGCGCCTATCACACATAGCACATAACTGTTGTAAAAAAAAAAAAAAAAAAAAATTGCATTGTGATTCTAAAATATCCAAAGCTTTGTGTTGCACTTCATTTTTTTTGTTTGTATTCAAGACTTTTTGAATATTAAAATAAGACAAATGATCTGCGTTTTTCCATTGTTAAAAATGAAAACAATTATTAAGAATGTAACCTAATTTCGATATATACAAATATTTACATGTCTTTTAACCTGTTCATTTACAGAGCCAATCTCAATATAGCAATCCCTTTAATATAATATTTCTATTACATACACACATATATATATATATATATATATATATATATATGGATTAAATTCAACATATTTTAATTTGTTTTTGTTCAAACGTTTTTTGATGGATACTCATATTCGAGTAGAAGCTCTGTTTTTTAATTAAAATTTTTTTTTTTTAAATCCAAGGATATCTACCAAGAAATCTGGTCTACCCAGACTGGATCCTGAATATTTTTCTGATAAGACTTCCCGAATATTCAGGCCTGTTGATATACTTGGATAAAAAAAAAAAAAAAAAAAAAAATACTGTTAATTTAAAAAAACTGAGGTTCTTGAATATGAGTATCCATAAAAAATAACGTTTAAACAAAACAAATTAATAATAATATATATATATATATATATATATATATGTGTGTGTGTGTGTGTCTGCAACGTTTTTAAATTATCAAAAACAAAAAAAAATATTCTCAGCTTTGCAAACAGTTATGATGAATAGAACTTTTTAAAAAATATTCAAATATTTAAGCATTAATTAAGAAATCCATTAAAAATATATATTAGAGAGAGAGAGAGAGAGAGAGAGACAATTAACATAAGTAACAGAATGTCACCGAGCTGATTGATTTTAGCTTCACCAACCCGACTAGAGAGTTTCTCTAAATTAACCCGTTTGTCCATTAGTCAGGGGATCAGCAGTTGAGTGCTTATACTTCGATTCTTTTTAATTATATGTATTTATCATTCGTGCAATTATTTTTCATAGTGTGCATTGTATATATATATATATATATATATTATATATATATAATTATGCATTTGAGCAGTAATCTCTCTTTTATACAAGTTTGCTGTCTCAAATACACAATTAATAAAATTACATGACACCACAGCTAACAATCTAACTATATTTGTAGGGTCATGTAATCCACAGACAGATTGTTTCGCTGTATCACAGTTCATCAGTGTGGCTAGACGTCCGGTTGCCTGTAGCTAGGTTCGAAATCCGGCTGAATTGGCGTCAGTCGGAGAATCTACCCCCAAGCACTGCAGGGATGAAGGTGAATTTAAGCGTATTTATTTTTAGTTAAACACGCCAGTCGCTGAGAGAACTCGATTCGTTTTATCTAAACTGAACTGGCGTGCTCACTGTGACCTAAGTGGTCACAAGCACGCCGAATAAAGAATCCTTACAGTTTAAAAATATTTTCTAGTTTTAAATAACCTGCAAAAGGTTGATAAGTCGTAAAAATAAACAATATTTCTCGTATAAATAACTAGCAAAAAACAAAAAAGCTAACACAAACATTGATATTTATTATTTCCAGTTTTTTTTAACGTAGCAATAAAAACAAAAAATAGGTTTAAAATTAAATAACATAAAATTCTATTTCGATGCCATCAGACGAACCAGTTCAGAGAAATGGGAGAATTTGTCAACTTTAAAAGATACTATTTCTACATAATCGCGTCCTGGGTATGACGATAAACTACATCCGCGTCCTGGATAAGACGATAAACTACGTCCAACAGAAAGGCCTCTGATAATACGTTTTTGAAAAAATAATGTTACCAGCTATACGTTTTTTTTTAAAGAATAGTGTTGCCGGTTATACGTTTTTGAAAAAAAAAAAAAAAAAAAAAAAAAAATATTACCAGCTATACGTTTTCGACAAAACAAAAATATTAACAAGGAAAAAAAAAAGTTGTTGGCATTAAATGACCCATTGAAGTTGATATGCCGTAAAACAAAAACCAAACAAATCAATCTACATAATCCAAAACAGACAGTACTTGGAGATGCGCGAATTTATCAAATTCTACATTCGATAAAATCCTATTTCAACATTACGGAAAAAATATCAACGGCACAGAGATGGACAATTTACTCATTTCAATGTAGTGGACTCTTCTGATGACGTAAAAAAACAAAAAAAAAACAAAAAAAACCCAAAATCTTGATACACAAGAAAATTAGGCATAAAGATATACACTGCGTTTTATATACGGGTATATTTATACATGAAGATTTTTAAATACTACTGGCTTACGGCCATATCACATTGAAACAACGGTTCTCGTACGAAACTAAGCAACGTCAAGCCTGGTCAGTACCTATATGGGTGACTGCTGTAAGCTTCGAGTAGTTTAATGGATAACGGCTCGATATTTGAAATCGGAGAGCCGAGTTCCAATTCCAGTCGGGTTCTTTATATTCAGTGACGCATAGATGTCCTTGGGAAGGTATGGATCCACCTCATCTCCCCCCCCCAGCTATGAGTTAGTTAGTAGGATTGGTATCAGTAGAATCATTATTATCTCCCCCAAAAAAAAAAAAATCTTACGATCTAAAGATATATTCCGGGCTTTAAATATCCTGTAAAAGGTTGATAAGCCAAAAAAAAAAAAAAAAAAAAAAAAATCAATGGAAAAATTTAATACTACTTCTGTTCATTGGCGGGGTTCATTTTTTTTTTTTTTTTAAAAATGGGTTTTTCGTAATTTATATATTTATATCGCCAATGTTTTTCATTTTTGAATTTAAGAACCGGTCCTCATTTTTTTTTCTTTTATACATCACTTACAATTAGTAATAAAATATAAATGAATGCTTAATGAGAGTCGCTAAGGCATAGATTATATAAATATTATTATTATATAAATATCCAAGCAGTAAGGGTAGAGCAACTCTCGGTATGCGAGATAAACGACTATCGGTGGCCAGATAAAATGCAAAGGAAATTCCACTGCATAACAAGTAAATAAACAAATTCTTCAAACTTATTTAATTTTAATAACCGCTTGGTATTCCGAACCCTTGGATTTCCACCTCAGGACTATCAACTCTCTTGGTTTTGAGCTAATTTATTCCTTTTTCTATTGTCAACTCGGTTAAACTGTTTTAAGCGTTGGTTTTCCGCAAAGTCTCCCAGTTTTTTTTTTGTTTTTTTACAAGAATTTTTCCCTGTAAATGAATTGTCGAGTTTTCTCCACAAAAAAATAAATAAATAAATAAAATAAATAAAACTAAAAGGAGCGCTGAGTGAAAATACTTCTTATTCAGTCCTCAAGTGTTTTGAAAAGCGTTTTATTGTTGCGGGCCAGGACTCGGCTAAATTATATAGCTTTCCGTTAACAATTTTTTACGGAATCGGGGTTTGTTTAAAATTTTTGAATGGTGACTTGACATTAATGTTTGGACCAATATTATGTCTCTGCTTGAAATAAATGAATTCGATAAATGAATTTTAGAGTTAGCATTTTTTTTTTAAATCCTTCTATTTCTGTGTTTTTATGAAGTTAGAAATCTAAATTTCCAGGCTTAAATTTTTTAGGTTAACAAATAACAGTAGTTAAAATTAGTGCATGAAGTGTATAAGTGATATAACAGTAACAAAAGCATTATAGTTTAAATCTATTTACTATGTAGTAAATAATGTTATCTTGTTAAAATAGCAGCAAAAAAAAAGAGTGAAAAAGAGCAATAATTACCGTTTTAACTTTTTAAGGAGTGTGTCGTACGTAATCCACGGAGACAGATTTTCGATTGGTTTAATTCGTAAAGAAAATAAGTGTAGATTTATTGCCATAAGTGTTGTGGCGGTGGGGGGTGCTGGGAGTTTTTTTTAAGAGAAGGAAAATCATAGAAAGAGAGCGAGAACGTGACGAAGATAGAGAAAGTGAGAGAGGGGGGAAAAAAGAGAAAAGGGGAATAGAGACAGGCAAGAAATGGAAGTGAGGCAGGCGTAAGATTTATTTTTCAAATACCGCGTACTCACACACACACACACACACACACACACACACACAAATGAATAATATAATTGTTTTCCTTGGCAAGTTGCATAATTCTCTTTCCATGTATCTTAGGTAATTTTTATCTATCTATCTATCTATCTATCTATCTATCTATCTATCGAGTCTCTTCATATCTATCTACAAAGTTTCTTAATATCTATCTATCTATCTATCTATCTATCTATCTATCTATCTATCGAGTCTCTTCATATCTATCTACAAAGTTTCTTAATATCTATCTATCTATCTATCTATCTATCCATCTATCTATCTATCTATCTATCTATCTATCGAGTCTCTTCATATCTATCTACAAAGTTTCTTAATATCTATCTATCTATCTATCTATCTATCTATCGAGTCTCTTCATATCTATCTACAAAGTTTCTTAATATCTATCTATCTATCTATCTATCTATCTATCTATCGAGTCTCTTCATATCTATCTACAAAGTTTCTTAATATCTATCTATCTATCTATCTATCTATCTATCTATCTATCTATCTATCTATCTATCTATCTATCGAGTCTCTTCATATCTATCTACAAAGTTTCTTAATATCTATCTATCTATCTATCTATCTATCTATCTATCTATCGAGTCTCTTCATATCTATCTACAAAGTTTCTATCTATCTATCTATCTATCTATCTATCTTTCTACGGTCGTGCACGAACTGAGTGATATGTACTTTCACTGATAACTTTCTGCGTTAATATCATTTGCAAGACAACGGAGAAACTAGCTTTTAAGTTTAAGTAATGTTTTATAATCAAACTCTTCGAAATAACGTGCAACGTTCCAAATACACACACATATACGCAAACACGCACATACACAAACACATATAATTTGGTCCAGTTAAAAATAACTATCCAATATCCTTCTATCTTGAGTTTCCCTTGGCCCTTGTATAGGGGGAACATTAATAAAAATCAAACACCGACGAAAACTACAGGTATAGCCGAAACTTTGAACCTGAAAACTTATGTCATTTCTTAAATAGTTTCGTCAGCTCGTAACTTTCATATGGTTGTCATGCATGGCGTCATAGCTGTTTAGAAATTACTAAACTGTCAGCTGTATACAAACGTTTTCTGAAATTAATGATTTAAAATGGGTAAGCGATTGAAGCCTGTGAGTTTGGGCGAAGGCAACGCTTATTTGAACCTTGTGGACTGGCGCTACAGAATCTCAAAGAACATTACAAAGTAACAGATACCACGTCACCTGAGGACATTCAACGGTAACAGCAGCTAAAATGGATATTACGTGTAATTCGAATATAAAATAATGACATAATCACGATGTTGACATTACACAATAGTTCAAATAAAAATAATATGACGATAAACTACGTCCGCGTCCTGGGTATGACGATAAACTGCAGCCGCATCCTGGGTATGACGTTAAACTACGTCCGCGTCCTGGGTATGAGGATAAACTGCAGCCGCATCCTGGGTATGACGATAAACTACGTCCGCATCCTGGGTAAGACGATAAACTACGTCCGTGTCCTGGGTATGACGATAAACTACAGCCGCATCCTGGGTATGACGATAAATTACGTCGGCGTCCTGGGTATGACGATAAACTACGTCCGCGTCCTGGGTAAGACGATAAACTACGTCCGCGTCCTGGGTAAGACGATAAACTGCAGCCGCATTCTGGATAAGACGATAAACAACGTTCGCGTGCTGGGTATGATGATAAACTGCATCCGCGTCCTGGGTAAGACCATAAACTACATCCAACAGCAAGGCCTCTGGTCGGGAGGTTTTGAGGAGCGTGGAACCACCTCTTAATTGCTTGTGATCCCAGGTCTACCCTGACCCGGGGTGGTAGCAACTTTTAGGGTCACAGCTATGGGCAAATAGTTAACACCCAAACTCAGGTCAAAACACTATGAAAATGTAAAAATAGGTTTTAATACCAGCAATGAGTTTTCGAAGAAGTAATTATTACCAGCAATACATTTTTTTGAAAAAAAAAAATTACCAGCAATACATTTTTGGAGAAAAATATTACCAGCAATGCATTTTTGGGGGAAAAATATTACCGGCAATAAAAATCTTGTTGGCATTAAATAACCCAATGAGGTTGATATACCGTAAAACAAAACAAACAAACAAACAAACAAATTAAATAAAAGGTTAGGAAAGACCCCTCCCACTTGAAAAGAGCGATAACAGCTACTAAACTTGAGAAAACTATTTACCTAAAAAAATTGTGTTAAGAGAAAGATTTTACAAAATTCAACAGCGGCTGTTCAGTCAATGGATGTCGAATATTTCCTTATAAGGAAACGGTTACTATTACTATTGCCATTAGCATTTAATCTGGACAAAATTACGCAGAAGCATTTGAATTTTCACGCGATTCCACATATAATTTACATTAAACCAATGTCATAATATAATTTTCTAAGAGATGATAATGTTGTAAAGCAGACATGGGCAACTATTTTTTGAACAGAGGGTCGCGTGAAGTGCGGTATATCAAACGCTGACCGCACGACTACCAAAGTTAAATTTTCATTAAAGATACTGCAGCTATTTTGCCAACAAAAGACCACCCCCAAGGATATTAGCATGTAAATGAATGTAATGGACTCGACTGGAATTCGAACTCGGTTCTTCGATTCCTCAGTCCGAATTGCTCCACTATGACTACACATGACTAAATAAGAAGACAGTGTATCCTTAGACAAGGAAAACGGAGCAAGTACAATCTACCACCGTACATTAAAGAAAAATGCCCAATGAAGATGCGCACTGCAATGAACCGAAACGTTGTGATAACAACAAAGATGAGGATATTGGTTCGAATGTAAATAATGAAATTTGTTTTATCTTTTGTTAAACTTTAGTGTTTGGAACCATTTTGAGAAACATATTACAACATTCCAGCGTCCTGGGTATGACAATAAACTACCTACGTGTTCTGGGTAAGGCGATGAACGACATCCGCGTCCTGGGTAAGGCGATGAACGACATCCGCGCCCAGGGTAAGGCGATGAACGACATCCGCGTCCTGGGTAAGGCGATGAACGACATCCGCGTCCTGGGTAAGGCGATGAACGACATCCGCGCCCAGGGTAAGACGATAAGCTACATCAGCGTCCTTGGTATGACGATAAACTACATCCGCGTCCTGGGTATGACGATAAACTACATCCAACAGCAAGGCCTCTGATCAGGAGGTTTTGAGGAGCGTGGAACCACCTCTTAATTGCTGGTGTTCCCAGATCCACCCTGACCCCGGGGTGGTAGCACCTGTTACGGTCCCAGCTATGGGCAAATAATTAACCCCCCAAACTGGGGTCAAAACACTATAAAAGTGTAAAAATAGATTTTAATATAAGCAATACATTTTTATAAAAATATTATCAGAAAGGAACTTTTGAAGAAAAAACATTATTACTAGCAATACATTTTTGAAAAAAAAATTACCAGCAATACAGTTTTGGGAAAATATTACCAGCAATAAAAATCTTGGTATTAAATAAACCATTGAGTTTGGTATGCCGTAAAACAAAACAAACCAAATTCCCCAAAATTTCAGAATTTATACTTGGAGCAAACTGCCTGGATGCGGAATAAAAACGAATTGAGTAAATATACAAAAATAGAAAGGAGTGTAAGACAAGGGTGCGTCTTCTCACCGGACTTCTTTCTTTTATGTGCTGTGTCCCTTCAGGACGTAGTCGATCATGGCTCTCCACTTTCTCCCATCCCTTGTAGCTCTCAATACGTTTTGTCCTTTTGCTACTTCTCCCAAACCCTGTTCCGTCATCCACTTGCTTAAGCCCGCCAGATATGGTACGCGTTGCTTTCCCTTGTCTCTCTTTCCCTCTATTCGCCCTTTGAGTATCAGATTCTCCATGTCCTCCATTCTCATTACGTGTCTCAGAAATTTTATCTGCCTCTTCCTGATGTTAGGCATAAGCTTCCTCCTTGTTTGCATCCTCTCCAAAACCTCATCGTTGCTCACATGTTCAGTCTATGACATAATTAGTATTCTTCTGTGGAACAATACCTCCCTTGCCTGGAGTCTCTTCTTCATCTTTGAGGAGACCGTCCACCACTGGCTGCCGTAAAGAAGGACAGATATGTAGTAGTTCAGTATTCTTTTCTTTGTTACCAAAGATATTCTCTTGTCTCATAATACTTTGCCTAGCTTTTGGAATGCGTCTTTAGGCATCCCAATATGTCTTGAGGTATTCGAGCTATACAGTGAGGGTTATTCTGAGAGTCCTACAAGGATTCGTCATTGGTGGCCATAACCTTAGCAACATAATATATGGAGACTCATTCATAATCTTAGCAACATAATATATGGAGACACACTCATAATCTTAGCAACATAATATATGGAGACACACTCATAACCTTAGCAACATAATATATGGAGACTCATTCATAATCTTAGCAACATAATATATGGTGACTCACTCATAACCTTAGTAACATAATATATGGAGACTCACTCATAACCTTAGCAACATAATATATGGAGACTCACTCATAACCTTAGCAACATAATATATGGAGACTCACTCATAACCTTAGCAACATAATATATGGAGACTCACTCATAACCTTAGCAACATAATATATGGAGACTCACTCATAACCTTAGCAACATAATATATGGAGACACACTCATAACCTTAGCAACATAATATATGGAGACTCACTCATAATCTTAGGAACATAATATATGGAGACACACTTAAAATATATGGAGACACATAAAATCTTATAACATAATATATGAGACTCACTCATAATCTTAGGAACATAATATATGGAGACACACTCATAACCTTAGGAACATAATATATGGAGACACACTCATAACCTTAGGAACATAATATATGGAGACTCACAGTGCTGACATCAGACACAGAACGGAAACTACAAGAACTCTAATGAAGTAAGGACTAAACATCAAATATAAAAATGTAGAATATATGGTTGTCAGTAAAAGGGAGAGCCCCACAAGCAAATTAACAAATTGGAGATGTCAAAATCAAACAGATGCAACAATTCAAATCATGGGAAGTAAAAAAAAAAGCATTTCAGCGCATTGGTGTAGCGAAAGACGCCTTCCAAAAGCTAAGCAAAGTATTAAGAAACAGAAAAATTTCAATAAGTGCAACAAAAAAAGTATTGAATTGTTACGCAATATCAGTCCTTCTATATGGCAGTAAATGCTGGACCCTCTCTATACAGATGAAAAAGAGACTTGAAATATACTTCTACAGGAGGATGCCAAGAATACAACGGACTGAACATGTGAGCATCGGCGAAGTTTTAGATAAAATGGAAACAAAAAGGACAATTATACTTAACATCAGAAAGAGACCGTTGAAATTTCCAGGGCACATAATGAGGAAAGAGGGCTTGGAAAATTTGATACTCACAGGTCAAATTGAAGGCAAAGAGAGATAGAGGAAAACAATGTATAACCTACCTAGCAAGTTTTAGAGAAAATAGAAACAAAAAGGACACTTATACTTAACATCAGGAAGAGACTGTTGAAATTTCTATGGCACATAATGAGGAGAGAGGGCTTGGAAAATTTGATACTCACAGGACAGATTGAAGGCAAAGAGATACAGAGGAAAACAACGCATAGCATACTAATGGATGGCAGAAC